AGCTGGACCGGAGAGCAACTTAAATTTTCGTTGTACCTGTGACAATGCAATAAAGATCTATTCTATTCTAAGCTCCATTGGTCAATATGTTAAAAACTAAGTAGAGATCCAAATAAGCCCTTAGGCAACTATTGTATCAGCTCCGTCTCCCGATGATCCCAGAAGGTTTGCAGCAGCCGGACCAAACGGTTCAGGAGCAGGCGGCCTTTTTCAAGTAATTCAAAATGTGGACTTGAATGGTCCAGGAAGACGGTTTGTGAAGCCACATCTCTTTTATTTCCCAAGTAAAATGAGCCAAGTTGATTCTGAGATCATTTCCACCCCTCACCCAGCAGTTAAAACCGACCGCAGCAGACAAATAATAATAATAAAATAATTTAATTAAAGCTGGCAAGCAGCGAAGAAAGAGCACGGTTTTTAAATCCGTGATGGTCTTTAGAACCTGAGGCAAATCTAAGTTGATGTCACTGTTCCCCAACACTGCAAGTTATTTTAACTCCAAAAAAAGAAATTGTGAATGCAGATTCCTCAAACATTTTACTCTAAGAACCCAAACCTCAGTTTCGTAAGTTAAAAAGATTGTTGATAGAAGCAGCTTTTACTAGATTGTCCACCACGCCTGTTTCATGAGGGTTCGAGTGCTTGTGGCCGCCAAAACTGCAAAAAATAGTAATTCCCTTTCCATTTCAACAAAGAGCTTGCAGTTTCTTTTAGAAACTTGTGTTTGAAGCAAACTGAATGTGGCGGGGTGATAAGAAGAGAGCAAGGTTTATTAGCAAAGATGATATAGAAAACTGGCAGTTCATAGTCGTGCATGCATTACTGGCAAAAAAAAAATTACTTAATAAGTAGATGTTAGTGATGGAAAATTTCACATATTATGCTTTCCTTTTTGACAGTGGCCCCCGCAAGACAGTGACGGAGCCTGCTGTGCATAGCCCAGTGGAAATATATAATAAAATAATATAATATTAATATGATAATGATCCAATGATACAGGCAGTGAATAATTTAGCATAAATTTAAAAAATAATAAATAATTAATTTAAGTGCTAGTGTTACCTTAAAAACAAAGTAAAAACATATAACATAATTAGCAGCATACATAGACACACAGTCATACACACCCAGTCATTGCATATTATTTTTTGCAGCATTGAGGGTAGTTACTGCAGTTGGATAAAAACTGTGGTTTGAGTTATTTGTCCTTGCTTTAAATGATCGGTACCGCCTGCCGCTGAAGCAACGTTCAACAGGGAATGACCAGCGCATGGAGTGGGTGTCCTTTATAATGTTCTGGGTTTTTGGAGGCAACGGGGAACTGTGGTAGTTCTTTCCAGTGTTTTGGGAGGGCAGCCGACGACCTAGCTTCAGAGGGGGGCGTAGCTCAGCACATAAACAGATCAAACCGATCTTTACAAAACACACAGGATATGTCCATATAAGGACCCCGAACACACCCTGAAAGTTTCATTCTAATCCACCACTGGGGGGCCACAAAGGGAAAACACTGGGCCTGCTGTAAATCAGAAATTTAGATTTTCAGAATGCCTTCTCAGCATTTTGTTTGTGGTGTTAAACCAAAGCACCAGAGTTGACTAATCTCAGATCAGCTATATCAGGTAAACATGCTAACGTTGATCAGAGTATCCTGCTACCTTTAGTGTTTCTTCAATCGTCACCAAACTGGACTTAGTAATAAATAAAACTTTATAACGAGACACAAAATATGAACCTGACTCCAATGGCAAACTTTCTGAGTGAATGTGGTTGAAACTGAAACTGGCTGGTGTTAGTATATATTTATATATCTGTATGCAGACAGAGGAGCGTCCACCGATTAATCTGTGTATTTTAATGTGAACCAACCCTGACCTGAAGGAACACACCGTCTTTTTTCACATCCTGTAGATTTTCATGATAAAATGACACAAAAATGACTCGGTGTGATCTTATCTGACATATGACATCATCTGCCTCAGGTTCCCCAAACAAAGACACTGAAACACGAACCAAATCTGCTGATCTGCACGTTTCTGTCCGTCCATCCATCCGCTCCATATTAAAACCTAAAGTTTAGATTTAATCTGGACTGAGACGACCCCCTTCGCTTCAGAACTTCCAGATTCACAAGACAGAAGTTTTGTCAAAGATAGACAATAAAAAGTAAAAGAGATAAGAAAAAAAAGAAATAAGAAGTGGAGGAGGGCTGTGGTTTTACGGAGAGAGTGAGAAAGAAACAGAAATAACAGAATAAAAGTAGAAATAAAACTCACAGGCTGCTGCTGCTGTCGCTCAGCACTCGTACAGGTGATGGTGGAGGCGGCTGCACGGCATCGATCTCACACTGAAAACACACCGCTGATAAAAGGGAAATGTGTGTGTGAGAGAGACAGAGAGAGAGAGCGAGAGAGAGACAGAGATAGAGAGAGACAGAGAGAGAGGTGAGAGAGGTGAAAGAGGAAGACCTGAATTCGAGGTTTCACACAAACACTGATCTCTGTGGTGTGAAATGTCTCCTCACTCAGCGACATTCTTTAAAGTCACAATAACAGCAGAAAGTTCTCAATGTTCAGAGAATAAATGTTTATTTATAGAAATAAAATATTAATATGTGAAAAAGATTCTTACTGTAAGTTTGTTGTTGAGATCAATGATCTGTTCTAAGATTATAAGATTATAAGAGAGAGACCTGGTCGAGGTAGCAGTCCATCAGACAACATCAGGGTTGGTCGGGTTCAAATGTAATCTGATTACAGTTAGTAATTACCTGTTGAAGAACGTAATCCACGTACTGCTCAGTCTTTAAGATGAACGAGTCCCTGATCAGTAATCTTCTCACTGTCAGAGAGAAAGTGAATGAACATAGTTCCTCAAATCCATTAGAACTGTTTAAACTAATAAAACCCACGTTTTCTTCTCTGGGTGTGAAAAATGTTCGTAACTGTAACAAAGAGCGATAAAGGGGCGGTCCCAAAGCTGCACTGCAAAGCTAATGCTGCTAATGCTNNCCTTTAAACCTTTAAACCTTTAAATCTGAATCCGGACAAACTGCGCTGCTGCTGCTAATGCTGCTAATGCTGCTAATGGTGCTAACGGTGCTAATGATGCTAGTGTTTTGAGGTACGACAGAAGTCAGAACCGTTGAGCTGGTTTCAAATAAAATCTCTTTGAAGAAACAGTTGTGTAATAATAGTAATAGTAATAATCTCAGCACAATAGTAACACAAGAAGTAACTGGATTACTTTTTTACTTAAATACTAAAAGAGCAAATAAAGAATTGTTAGGAAACGACTTTTATGTGTTCAATAAGACAAAAAACGGGGAAAACAAGATTTAAGAATAAATTCTGTCCTTTTAAAATTGTCCTCCTGCTAAATATCCAGATTTTTATATAACTGTAATCTGATTACATTTTTTAATGTAAATGTAATAGATTAGTGCTTTGTATGCCTGTTCTGTCACTAGTGTGTATTTGATCTTTTATGTGGTTCTATATCAGTGATTGTCCCTTTTATCTGTATGTCTCACACAGCTGCTGCAGCAGGTGGCGCTATAACCAACTCCCGCATACGACGTCACACTTTAAAAAATCATCCACAATGCGAACAACCAATCAGAGCCCAGAAAGACAGTTGATTGTTAAGTCTTGTCATACTGACGTCCTGGGAATCAAACAATCAAATATCTTCAAGACTCCAACCCAAGATGTCTTTCTATCTTTCTCGGCTCTGATTGGTCATTTTTGTTTGGGAACGGTGGATTCTTGTAATTGCTGTTAGGAGCAGTAGGGGGAGCCAGAGGAACCTGATTGTTTCACAGATTATCTGCCTCATGTTCTACTGTCAGGATACAGTGAAAGTTTCACAGATTATAATTATTATTGTGTAATTTCCTGGATGCAGCGCAACGTACATCCCTGTTTCTTTACAACGTCCCGTACTCTCAGTGCAGTCTTTATGATTCGGTTGGTTGGACATCGCAAGCACTCTGGATAATAATCTGCAAAATTAGTCCAGTTTTTGTCCACTGATGAACTTCATCATAATGAATGTGGTCACTGGAGTTTGTATATTATTTTGTATTTTAATGTTTCTTTGGGCTCTTGTGAGATTATTGATCTCAATCAGACTTCTTGGTAAAATAAATAAAAAAGACTTGGGAAAGAGAGGGTCTGTTGTTGGAGGAGTTTCATTGGCTGATCAAGCGACTGAGTGAGCGACTGTACATATTTATTGATTTATTTATTGATTTATTATTGATGTTGGTGGTTTGGGTCTTTTAAAGAGCTGCTGTTTTATTGAGTGTTTCTGTCGGTTGCTAAGCTGTTGCTAGGTGGTCATAAAGTCATTAGTAAATGTTGAATCAGGGACGTTCAGTATTTTCTAGGAAGATGCCAACATCCACAGTGCCGTTACTGGATGGATAACATACTGAGAGGGTTGCTAAGTGGTTGCTAACGAGGTGTACAGGGACTTACACTGGAATAATGATGATGCTTTATATCTGGATATGTGGAGCCATGGTTTACATTAAAACGTCAGAGTCTCTTTGTCAGCAGTCAAACTCTGCATACAACAACCTTTCGATACAAATCCATTTATTTATTTGTTCATTGAAACTGTACAGACTTAAATATTGACGATACAAAGAGGTGCATGATGGGAGAGCAGAGGGTGTTGGGTGATGTGAGGGTCAGGCCACTTCCTCCATGTAGTCGACTCCGTGACTCTGACTGAGCTGAGACACACTCAGGTCCTGGGTGGTCTCATCCAACTGCAGAACAAACACAAACAGGTTGAAGGTAAAGATTTAAACAACAGAGCGCGTGGGACCTGAACCAGGACTCTGAGGGTCTGATCACCTTGTCACTGTTGTCGGGTCCCTCGATGGAAACTTCCTCAATCTCCTCACCGATGCTGAGCTCGCTCTTGGAGAGGTCGGACCGATGGCTGGAACAACAGAAACAGATTGTTCAGACCGGTTTGTTTCTACGAGACTCAAAACCTCCTACAGAGACTCAAAACATCCTGCAGAGACTCAAAACATTCTACAGAGACTCAAAACATCCTGCAGAGACTCAAAACCTTCTACAGAGACTCAAAACCTCTTGCAGAGACTCAGTCCACTAATAAAAGTTACAGTACTGTTCAGAGCAGAGACAGTTTCTAGGATGGTTCTTGAACCGATTCTTGGAACCTTGGTGTTATAGTGAACCAGTTTTGAGCAGTACTACTGTAATCAAGGATACTAAGCATCAGTGGAGGCCGCTGCCCAACGACCTGTAGAGTAAGCCAACTTTTTGGATTCCAAACCAAATCCTCCATAAACACTAAAGTTAGTCATGGAGTTCCACAAGGTTCTGTGCTTGGACCAATTCTATTTACCTTATATATGCTTCCCTTAGGCAACATTA